AACTCCCTCCCGGTACTATCCTATGTTTCTGTTTTATCCTTTACACTCACGTCTTTATTCCCTTTACTTATTTTTCTAATCCCCACTCCCCTACCCTAAGTGGTATACTTGTCAAATATGGTCCCTGACAGCCCACACGCTGGGTTTGATGAAGAAAGGGGCGATGCTAATACCTGTGCATTACAGAAAGCCAGTGCTGTTACACAGCTACAAAAAAGCCTTCTAGAGGTGGCTTTCTTCCTTCATGGGCACCTCTACCCTCATTTCCCTTTATTCTTTTAAGACACCAATGTACATCTAAGAAGAGAAGGCAACATGTTGTCATGGAGAAAGAGAGAGAGCGGTTATGGAAATCGCGCTGTGCGGCCTCTCTGGTGTTCCAATCAGCGCTGCCCAGTTATCGGGAGCCCCTCACTGTGGGTGGAGCACAGGAAAGAATTATTCAACATGACTACATGTGGGCGGGCCTGGGATGTAACCCCACGTCACACAGATGGTAAGTCATACAGCAACACAGGTACTAGCCAAATGCTCCAAGTGAGAAATATAAACCCACCTGCGGTCGTATTTCACTCGGGTTTTTAAAAGCAAAATGTGTGGCTTACAAACAAACAAGAAACAACAGAAGATGATTTTCATAGCTCTTGGGTCTGGAAAGCTAAAACTGAAGGCCCTGACAACTTGCTGTCTGGCAGAAGCTACTTCCTACACATATGCTGTTTCTCAATACCCTCAAAGAAGCCAGGAAGGAGCATTTGGGGTAGTTTTTAAAAATCTGTTTTGGGAGATTAATTTTTATTTTATGTGTATGGATGTTTTGCCTGTGCTACCTTGGTGCAGTACCCATATAGGCCAGAAGGGGACGACAGACCTCGCGAGACCCGAGTTATAAACTGTTGTTAGTCACAATGTGGACGCTAGTAATCAAACCTGAGGTCCTTTGGAAGAGCAGTCAGTGCTCTTTCAACTACTGAACCATCTTTCCAGTCCCATGCCAGGGTGGGAGACAATAGGGGGATTTGCCCAATAATAAGGATTTTTGTCTTTATGACCTGGTCACTACATAAGGTTCTGCTTCCTAACTGTAGTGGCCAAGACAGGCCCCCAGTGGCAATCCCAGCTGACCAGAACACTAGGAGGGCTCCCAACATTGATCTGAGATCGGCAGCAGAAGCTATGACCACAAACTCTGGGTACAAAAGCTATCAAATCTTCAAGTAGAAACCATAAAACACCCAGTTTCTGCATCCAGGATCCTGCTGCCTTTTGACAGTCCATGACCACAATTGTCTAGACAGGCAGTGACAGTAGAGCTGACAGCCAGGGGTCCTGGCATCAAAGGGAATGACACACACACACACACACACACACACACACACACACATACACACCAGCTTTTGCAGAGCACACGTAAGAACTCCCAATGCAGAACACAGTATTTGAAAGCCTATAGCAAACAAAGGTTGGACAGCTCTCAGAGGAAACTGGAACTTTACACAGGGCAACCCGGAAAGAAAAATTCTAGACAGTCAACAGACAAGAGCAAGCTCAGACCCCTGGTTAGCATGGCAAAGGCCAAAGCGGCAGGAGTGTGCTCCCAGGGACTGTGGGAAAGGGATAGAGCTGTGGGCCTGCTTGGGCTCTTTCTTCTCTTTGGTTTGACCACTCTCTGCTGGTTTGTCGCATTTCATACCTCATTTGTATGCACATGCATCCAATCAGAGCCCCCAGGTTCTCCAGGCCCTGCGCAGACAGGGGAGGCTGATCCTTGAGAGAGAGGAGAAGGAAAAGTCAGCAGGGAGTCTGGTTCCTTGCAGACTATGGCACCGGCCAACAGCCAGCTCCCGGATGCCCCCACTCTCTTGGGAGGAAGAAGCCTGAAGACCCAGATCCTGCTCTGGCCAGGGATCTTAGACACTTGCCTGGAAAGAAAGACTGCTCTAGAGACAGACCCTGCCACTGGGTATATTGTTCTTTAAAAAGATAAAAGGTTGGAATGCCCCGAGCGGCCTGCGAAGAGGCTGCCACCAGAGCAGTGTTCCCCAGGCAAGCAGCAGAGTCAGGCGGCTGGACAAGGTGGACAGCAAAGTAAATGGACATAAGGCTATACATAAAGCTAAACATTTATTACTTAGAGAAGAGGGAGACATTTATTACTTAAAGAAGAGGGAAACAGAGAGACATGGAGAAAAACATAGGGAGAGACAGAGACACGTGTGTACACACCAAGAGACTGGGGACAGAGAGAGAGTTAAGATGGCGACCAGGAGGTCAGAAGTGGCTGGGAGTGGGCGTGGTTAGCTCTTAAAGTGACCAGACCCAAAGGAATAACAGGGTCCCTGTGTGGGTTCCCACTGCGCCGACTCTGGAGGACCAGCGTACTCTGAGACCCACCGACCCTTCCTGCTCAGGCCCTGTCAGTTACCTGCTCTCTGCAGACCTGTTCTGTGAGGGGTTGCTTTTTCTAGAGATCCCAACATCCTCCAGGATCTGCAGTGCTAGCTCAACAACAACAACAACCACGTCTTACTTGGAATTTTTATTGGTGTAACAAATACCACAATTAAAAGCAGTTTGGGGAGGAAAGGGTTAATTTCATCTAGCAGTTCATCACCCAGGGAAGCTGGGGCAGGAGATCAAGGCAGGAACCTGGAGTCAGGACTGATGCAGAGGTCACGGAAGAGTGTTGCCTAATGATTTTCTCCCCTTGGCTTGGTCAGTCTTCTTTCTTTCTTTCTTTCTTTCTTTCTTTCTTTCTTTCTTTCTTTCTTTCCTTCTTTCTTTTCTTCCTTCCTTCCTTTCTTTTTCTTTTTCTTTTTCTTTTTCTTTTTCTCTTCTTTTTTTTTTTGACAAGTTTTCTCTGTGCAGCTTTGGCACCTGTCCTGGTACTCACTCTGTAGACCAGGTTGATCTTGAACTCTCAGAGATCTGCCTGCCTCTGCCTTCCAAGTGCTGAGATTAAAGGTGTTTGCCATTACCGCCCAGCTTTTTTTTTTCCAGTCTGTTTCCTTATACCATCCAGGACCACCCATCCAGGGATGGCACTGCTCACAGGGAGCTGGGCCCTCCCATATCAAACATCAGTCTAGAAAATGTCCTACAGACTTGCTTTCATGGAGTCCTAGGTTCTGGTGTCCAATTTTCTCCTTACCAACACTCTCTTATTCTGTGGTCTGCTACAAGCAGATCTAAATCAAATCATATCACCCTTTCCATTCAGAGAGCAGTGGTGACTGCCAGGGGAACGGTTGGCTTGGGAGACATTTTTAATGTAGTGCAACAGTAGTTTTGAAGTGTAGTCTACAGAGTGACATACAGCAATCTGACGCTGGAAGGAAAGCTTGTACTTGTAAACTGAGGAGGGGGGGCACTTCTTTAGCATTGTTTCCTAGGTAGCAGAGGAATGACTTAGGTCACGTCCTGTCCATGCTTATTTTGTCATGTAGACTTAAAACACCTCATCCCCAGGCAACCTCCTAATTTACAACAAATGACATTAGCTTATCCTGACCACTTGTTAGTGTTACGCCCAAATCCGCAAAGTCCCTGCAAAAGCCAACAAGGAAACCAAGAGTCCCACATGTAAAAGCAAAGAGCCTTTATTTTAATCAAGTTTGCAAACTCGGTCTCTCCACATGTCCAACTTATTGGAATAACTGGAGAGGCCCGAGTTCAATTAGAATTGGGTTTTTATAGTAGTAAAGGGGGTGAGGGGGTCTCTGAGGTTCAGGACCCCTGATTGGCTGACATTTGTCTAGGGGTGTCCTCGTGAGGTGCGCTGGCAGGTGATCCTATCTACAGCGGTTGGAATGTTAGGCATTTTCTTTGAATGGTCTGCTCCTGGGCAGTGGTCAGGTTATCTCAGTTTGTGTTTCACCCTGCAACCAGGTATTGCCTCAGGGTACACTACTGAGACTCAGACCTCTTATTAAATTTATTGAGAACCAGAGTTCTACTCTAGCAGGTGATAATGATTGGGAATAAAGAACTTCCTTTGGGTGACCTGTTCATACTTAGTTTATCATGGCTGGCCCCCACAGTTAGGATGGCATCAGGTTGTTTACTATCCAAGAGCTAGGTGATCACCTCCTGTGGGAAGGTGCAAATTGTGCCCTGAGAGTTGCTCAGATTCTCCAACCGCTAGACAATGTGGATTATGGGCCTGCACAATCCGGCCCCACACATCTTCTCCCTAGGTACTGAATTCCTACTCAGTCTTCCAGGCTTCCTCTGCCCTGAGAGTTGAGTTTCTCTTCCCTGTTTCAGAAAGAGATGTAGAAACCCACAGCGTCCTTTGCTAGCTTTCAAAATTGCAGGGGCAAGCTTTCGACAGGGCAAGCATTTGCCTGCTGATCACGGTCACTCGATTGTCTTGGTCATGTGGACTCACATGACACTTGCTTGGGTCCTGCAGCTGTTTGAGCTTCTGATCCGCGATGGTTCTCTGAACCTTTGCCTGCCTGTATCATGTAGCCACTGCCACAAGAACTTAGTAAGTGATGACTGAATCAGGAAAGGGATTGGGGCTCCATTTATCACACGTTTCTCACCAGCAGCAATCCAGTCTAGAAAAGGTTGGCATATATTCATACTGCTCTGTTTTTCTTGTATTTTCTTCTTTCTTATATTTTTGTCTTTTGCTTTTTTTGCTTTTTTTTTCAATAAAAACTTAATGATGGAGAAGAAAGATCCAAGGGTAGGGGCAGAAACTCTTTCCCATCTGACTGGCGATGTTATTTGATCTAGTTTTAAATCACCACCTGAGTTCATTTCGTGAGTGAGAAAATATTTCACACAGAACCAAGGAACAGAAGGTAAATTTTATCTTCTCCTTGGTCAGGCAGGCCTGTATGATGAAATAGATCACTTTACTTTTAATTTAAAAGGAAAGAGAAGAATTGAGCAAATATTTTAACTGTAGACTATTTGGACAGCTTTTATTAATAAAATCCATTCCCAAGCCAAGCCTGGAGGCGAGACCTTAGGACTGGAAACAAGAATAAAGCAAATCCACTGTTTATTGAAATAATATTTCTAAACCTGTTCACAAACAAAATGCAGCAAAGTCCATGAGCGGCTTCCGCAGGGAAGAATGGTAGAGACCCAGTGACTCATTGTTTGCCTTAGCAGTTTTGATGCATAGTCTCGCCAGCTCGTTTGTTCCCACTTGATTCCCAACTTCCCATCTTCTTTCTAATGAAAAAAAAAATCATCTTTGAGAAATTGCTCAGCATTCTGCCTTCTCAGAGAGAAATCTCACAGTGGAACCCTGATTGATTAAATTTTTACAGAGCTGAATTTTTGCTAAATTACTTCTAGGAAGCAGGCGAGGGGAGGGGAAGGGAAATGCATACATATATTAACGGGCATGATGGATCACTTCTCAGTGCGTTAGAAAATCAGCTGTGGATTGCTTTCCAGCTCTCTCTCTCTTTCTCTCTCTCTCTCTCTCTCTCTCTCTCTCTCTCTCTCTGTGTGTGTGTGTGTGTGTGTGTGTGTGTGTGTGTGTGTGTGTGTGTGTGCGTGCGTGCACGCATGCTTTTGTGTTGCTAGAATTTGAACCCAGGGTCTTATACACGCTGGGCAGACTCTTGGCTACTGAGCCGTCTTCCTAATCTCTCTTACTCTTCTCTTTGGAAATTATCTTCAGGAAAGTATTTTGATGTAGCTAGAGAAAAAGAATAATGGTTTTGTCTTATTTAAGAAGTGTTTTGTTTTAAAATTATGTGCCCCTCCCCGTGTGTGTGTGTGTGTATGTATGTGTTCGTATGTAGGCAAGAATAGGGAATCAGAGTCCATATAACTGGAGTTACAGGAGCTGATAAACCACCAGGTGTGGATGTTGGAAGCCAAACTTGGGTCCTCTGCAAGAGCAGGGATGCACTCTTAAGTGCTGAGCCATCTCTCCAGCCTCAAGAGAACATTGATAAGTTGAAGTGTCCAACTCACCCAGGCCAATGCGCAGGAACAGGATTGTGCTATAGAAACGTGGAACTGAGAAGAGGAACCTTCTAATCCCATCTCACCTGCATATCTGACTGTGGAGCAATGGAATGTCTGACTTTGGCCAAGTCTACATTCTTTGCTGTCTGCAGCCACAGTCCAGTGCGGACGAGGCTCATTCACTGGCTCTCACGCCTCTGTCAGGGTCAGAGGCTCCACCGACTCTGTCCTGGCTTCCAGAGATCTCATTCCAAAGCATTGAAGCTATGGTACAAAGAATCTTTTCAGTGCCCCATGATCGAAGAGAACGGGAGTAGCAGTAAGGAAGTAATTGTTCATATCCCACTTCTTACAGAACAGGAGTGCCTCTTCCCAGCTAGAGGGGCTGCCATCTTGGCCAGGGAGGAGGTGGCTGCGACCGAGCCTCTCCACAGATTCACCAGGCTCTTCATGAAGTGTGGAGACTCGGCCACAGCTGCAAGGCAGGGGTACCCAAAGATGCTTCCTAAGGGGAAGCATGTGCCCTTGCCTGTGAGGAGAGCCCTAACAAGGAGCGAGGCTGGAGGCTGATGCTGTTCACACTGCCATTCTCTGCTCACTTATGCCTCTTATGGAACTCCTGCAGCAGCAAGGGGAAGCCAGAGTGCTGAGTGTTAGGGAGGCCCACCGCTCACTCTTTTTGAAGTTAAAATAATGTACATATGCCCGTAAAACTCTATATATGCATCATGTACATACATTAAACGATAAAGAAGATGTTGGACATTACAATGTATTTTTGTACATTGACCTGTACCTAGATACTACATATTTATACACATTGAGCATAGTATGTACATTTGTGTGTGTACATTTCCAGATAAATCATTAACTTCTTTTCTACAGCAGACGAGATCGTGATACACAAATGTCCAGCTCAGTCTCTCTCAGCTGAGGCTATATGAGAACCATTCCCCAAGCACGCATGTAATGAATTAAGTCTGCTCTATGCATCCACAATGATACCAGTCATGAATTAACATGGGTCTAAGTGCGCAGAATGTTGCCGGCTAAACGCCATTTTCTCACTATCTTTGGACAAAGTGGCCATTTGCATAATTCTCTGTGCCCCTCTTCATGTCTTCTCCTTTAAATGACCTTGGATATCTTTCCCTATTTAGAAGTTAGACCAGGCGAATCACAGGAATGGAACGACACTAGAATACATCACCTCTGCATCCTGCAAGTGGAATCCCGGCGTCTCTCTTCTGCCCTCTCCATCACCCAGGGCAGAACCTCCTGCTCACACAGTGAGGACCCAGCCTGGAAGTGGCGCCACAGCAGCTCAAAGTGCGCTTTGGAAGCCTTCCACCTCGGCTGCGAGAGAAGTGAGACTGGTTTGTTCCTCCAGAGCCTCATCCACTTCTGTAGCACTATAAAATGTACCCCACTTTACAGCGTGTGCAGATGCTGCCTAGGTGATCCAAGCAATGTAACGCTAAAGACTGGAAGAGCTGCTCAAAGACAGGATGCATTATTTATGCTTCAAGGGAATGATGCTTCCTTTCTCTTAAGCACTTGGGGCTTGGGAACCCTGGCTGGCTGGCAGTTTACAGGACTGAACTCATGTTTATCATTAGGAAAAATCCCAGTACTTTCACATGTATTGCATAGTTGCCATGTGCCAGGTACAACCAGGGATTAAACGGAAGCGCATATGTTATGGTAGTTTAAAAATAATTCTGATGGTGATAACAATAGCTGGGTCGTTGTTCTTGCTACCACACAGCCCCTCCCCGCTCTCAGTGGCAGCTCCTGTCCCTCAGGGAAGAGCCACTCCACCTCTGGAGACTTTCCCTGGTACTAGACGGAAGGCAGGATTCAGGCCTCAGCTATTAAAGGTGGTGGGTGTTTCTCTGTCTGCAGTGATTGGTTTAAGATTCAGTCCTACAGTTGACACAGCTTCAGAGGCTTCCTTTGGAGAAGGGCCAGCCTGGGGGTTCCTAAGGCTAGAACCCAAGCAGTCAGCAGCAAATGGAGGAGGGCAATTGAGTACTAACAACAGTTTAAGCTACTAAATCTATCCCAGTTGAAAGCCAGCCAGCCTCAGGCCTTTCAGGTTTCTGAACCCATAACTTCCTGTTTGTCTTAAACTGATTGGATTTTTTTGTTTGTTTGTTTGCTTTTTTTTTTTTAACTATTTAAAGCTAGGGAAGAACCTATTAAAATAGATGACAATCACACAGAGAATTGTGTCTGTGTGTTGGGGGAAGACAATGGGCTTTTGTGAAGACGGAATTGCTCCTAGGACCATAAAGAGGGAGCCCTGCCTTGACCTTGGTGGGTATAGGCAGTAACAACTGAACTAAGACTAGGGAGCACCCTTTGCTAACTCAACTCTCTCTATCAACCAAAGTGAGTTAACCTTATGAGACTTTAACCTCTCTGCACCTCAAGCTTTAGGATAGGACTTGAGTGCTTATTTCTATCAGCCAGGCTTCTGAAGATTTAAGCATGTAGCGTCCTGCGAATGTCAAAGGATGGTCCGTCCCTGTGCTGTGAGAAACTCAAGTTGTTGAACATTTTCTCTATAATTCCCTGAATTCCACCTATCCATTCAGAGAGTAAGACTGCATTTCCAGAAGATGTCTACAGAACTCTGTTTGGTAGTAACTGTGTGACCATGACACTCCCATTTTAAGCACTAAAGTTAGTTTTCTAGTCCACCCCTTTGAGCCCAGGCAGGCCTCATGAGTGCTTTGACTAAAACAATGTGGACAGAATACTGTGTCAGGCCAGGGTATGCTGTGTCTATTGAGATCCAGATGTCTTGTGTGACTATGGTGAGAAGTCTCAAGCGATGAGACATTCTGTGGGCAGAGAGAGGACAAGGAACTAGATACATGACTGAAGGAATCTTCTTGGATAATCTGCCGTGGTCAGCCTCCAGATGATTCCAGAAACAAACAACACCATTCTACACCTCCTTGAAATCCAAAGAGGAAACCACACAGTGAGACCCACCTCAAGACAAGGAAATGTAATCAATTATTGCTCAAAGCCACTGAGACTTGGGAAGGTTTCTTTAGAAGCAGTAATGGACACTTGGAACAGATAGATAATTTACCAAGCTAACTTCTTCTTAAAGTATAGTGGATGTGGTTGGTGTTTTTAAAATATTGAATTTCACATAATGGCATGTACCATATTAATCAGAGGCCTTTACAAAAAAAAAATTGAGGCCATTTGTGGCTGAGAGGGGAAAAGCTTTTGAAAGGACAGAGAATAGTTCATGAATCATCATAAGACCCAAAAATTGATCTGCGGAAAAAAAAAAACACTAAAAGCCATGACCCCCAAATCCTTCTGGAGAAAGAAGGCACTAACCCATAGGAATGACGGGGCATCCCAAGTCCCTTGGTTTGGGCATCACCAACTTCCAGCGTTCTATTGGTACTTCTGATAGGCAGAACTGGTGGCGTAGGTTTCCATCCTGGCTCCGAGGGAGGCTGGAGAAATAAGTTGTCAATATTTCAGACTTTGCCTTCAGGAGTATCCATTGTCCTCATCAGCTCTCTAAGGGACAAGCGTGATTCCTCCAAAGACAGAGTGCTAAAGTCCAGAAGAAAAAAAGTCTATCTCTGTCACCAGAAACTGATGCCCTACTATAAGTTTCTGCAAGCATATGCATATAGAAGGGTATTTATTTCATATCGTGTCATTTCTATATTATTGCAACCCCTTGTGAATAAATAAAACATTCCATATTAACATTAAATTTGTCATCTGTATTCCAATTAGTAGGGCTTATGGGCAAGATGAAATGAAGTGCTGTATCTTCTTTAAATCTCTGCAGATTTGTAAGTAGGACATAACACAAATATTAATAGTCACAGTAAAAAACATGAGTACTGTAAAGGCAAGTTAAATTTGTAATGGGAATAAATACTAAAATAAACCTTTTTTTCCCCTTAAAAACGAATGCACCTTGATGGAAGGGAAGGAAGGAAATGTAGAGGGTGGTGAGAGAAGATTATATAATGTTTGGGAAAGTCATGCAGTACACACTTTGAGGACAAGAAAGTGAGTCATGGCGAGCTGAGAGTAAAAGTAAGGGATGGAAGATGGGTGGCCTCCTAGACAGCGTCATATTCCCCGTGCCCATCGTGATCACCCATGAAGGTTGTGGGGGTTTGAATGAGCAATGTTGCCCGTTGCTCATGTGTTTGAACACTTGACCCCCAGTTTGTGGCACTGTGTGGGAGAAGATAGGGACTTTTTGTGATGTGGAGTCTCGCTGGAGAAAGGACATCACTGGGATGGGGGCTTTCAGAGTTTTTAGCCTCACCCCATTGCTCTCCTTGTGTACTGTACATGCAGCCGGGATGTGGCTTCTTAGCTGCCTTCTCCGGTCACCATGCCTCCCATTTGCTGCCATGGCCCCCACAGCTATTAGGGGCTGTCCCTCTAGAGCCGTAAGTCCAAATAAACTCATTATTTGATTATGGTGTTTATTACAGAAATGAAAGTGACTAATGCAGAAGTTGGTACCAAGAATGAGGCTGCCCTTGTGAAGGCCTACTGCTATCATGGAGCTTGCACGTTAGCAGACTAGTGAAGTCAAACAGGATTTCCATGTTACGTTAGGATTATTTTGATATTTACCAAGTAGTCAATATATGCCAGATGATGTTTACATGAGCAGAATTTTGTCTCTATGTGTATAATTTCATATAACCTATGCAATCTGGTGTTAGCCTTGTTTTGGAAATGAGGATATGGAAACTCAGAGAATAAGAAAGTCAATGCAGGTCAAACATAAGAGAGTATTAATTGGGGTTCGACCGCCATAAGATCAACACTCTTCTCACCCTCGCTAGTGGAATGCTATTTACTAAGAAACCTGTCACTTAGCAAGCAAGATCACTCACTCTGTGCATTCCTCCAACAAGACACTGACTGACCCACTCAGGGGCCTGAAGAATTGATACATCCTCTTAACTGAACTTGCTTGTGCGCGTTTAATAGTGGCTCTCACTGTGTGCACAGATTCAGCTGCAGAGCTGTAGAGGAGATTTGAGGAATTTGCATTTCTACAATTGCTCTGCTAGGGCCCCCACACAGTTACCTGAGAAATGGCAGCCTCATTTGTTCTATGTGGCAAATCTGAGGTCAACAGTCTCAACCCTCCTCAAAATCAGTGGATTTTCAAAGAAGTCATATTTCTCAAAAACCATATTTCACTGTGTGCAAACTGTCTGTCCCAGAGTTTTGTTTTTTTTTAGATTTGATTATTTTGAAATATACAGGAAAAGCAACTATTTTCAGTTTCAGAGAAACACTCTGCTTGCCTTAAGTGAACGACAATAGGTTGGCTTCTTTGTTTATGTCTGTGTGTGTGTGTGTGTGTGTGTGTGTGTGTGTATGCATGTGTGTGTGTGTGCATATGTGCGTGCCTATGTATGTGTGTGTTTCTCAGAGAACATTTGGTGTACTGGTTCTCAATGTATTATTTATGTGTATAAAATCACCAATAACAATCTTTTATAAGGCTAGGGATGTAGTTTTCTGATAGAGCATATCCTAGTATTTGCAAAGTGTTGAGTTCAATCCCCAGGACCACAATATAAATAAAATAACTACTTATAAAACTTTGGGACAGAATTCTTGCTTTATCTGCCTTTCTTTTTCTGAAATATTTTTGAATCAAATCTCAGGTATCTTGTCTCACCCCTGTAGACCTCGGCATATGCCATCTAAAAAGGAACTTTTTTTCCTTTCTACTTTAAATTTTCCATCTCCCTCCCACCTCTCTTTCTTCCTTTCCTATTTTTATATCACAGTTGTAATGGTCTGTCCTGTCCCTTTAAGAGACAAGCTATGCCCAGTCTTTCCCGCATCCACAGAGGCAAGCTGATCTTCAGCCCGAGCCCCTTCCTTTCTATCTCTCTCTCAAAGAGGCAGCTTCTGTCTCTCCCTTCTCCCCACTTCTCTCCCCTCCATCTGTCTCTCTCTCTCTCTTTCTCTCTGCCCCCCTCTCTCTGTTCATCCCCCTTCTCTCCTTCCCTTCCATAACCCACTAAATAAATATCCAACTTCACTCTGCATGGCATGCCTATCTGTCTTGGTCTCTCACACCATGCGGCGGCTTCCTGCCTGGGACCTGGCTTCCTTGGTGGCCTGCCATGGTCTCAGGACCCACAGCTTGCCGCTGCTCAGGGACTTGCAGTGTATTCTCATGACCTGCTGCCCACTGCCACCACTCGGGACCTGCAGCATTTCTGCCACTGTGCCCCTCAGGGAACCTGCAGCATTTTACTTAAACCGTTACATTGGTGTATGACTCAGATTACATTATAATCAAAGTATTTCCTTTTTTATTTTTGTTTTCTTTAAATAGTGATTTTTATCAATTCGTTGAGAATTTTTACCATGCATTTTAATCATATTTTTCCCTCCCAACCCCCTTTTAGATCCTCATCTACTTCTGTCTCTCTATCTGCCCAACTTCAAGGTCTCTGTGACTCTGATGCTCCCCTGCCTTTCTCTCTTGCCCATTGAGTCCAGTTTGTGTTAGCTTTCTCTGGGTAAGGGGGCTGCCCTGGAGGTGGGTGTCACAACGTTAAGAACTGCTTCGGGCCTATAACAAAGCTATAGGGGAACAGTGCTAGGTAGGAGAAACTAAACTGAATGCTGGGAAAAAGAAGAGCGGAGTCAGAGAGAAGCCATGTAGCACCACCAGAGACAAATACCAGAACTTTAGCTGGTAAGCCACAGCTACGTGGTGATACACAGATTAATAGAAATGATTTAAATTTATATGTAAGAGTCAGTCAATAAGAAACTGGAGCTAATGGGCCAAGCAGTGATTTAATTAATATAGTTTCTGTGGGATTATTTTGGGAGACTGAGCAGCCAGGAACCAACAAGCCGCCTCCATACAACAACGTTAAAAACAAAACAAAACTGACTTTTCCTCAATCAAATACCAATAGCCCTCAGCCAGGGGTGGGACTTCCTGTCCACTTCCACTCCTCCACGCTGGCATTTTGTCTGACTTGTTTTTGCATGCTGTGATAATCACTGTGAGATCATGTGTGCACCTGCCATGCTGTGCTCAGAAAACACTGTGTTCTTGAAGCCATCTACCACCTCTGTCTCTTAGAATCTTTCTGTCACTTCTTCCATGTAGACCTCTGGGTCTTAAAGAGAAGATGAGCTTAGATGTCTTGTTGAGATATTTGGAAGTCTCCTCTGCTCTGTGCATTGATCACTTGCGGTCTGTGTTAACACTGTCTTTCAATGTAAAGTAGATTCTTTGCTGCTGCTTCTGTTTCTTCTTCTTCTTCTTCTTCTTCTTCTTCTTCTTCTTCTTCTTCTTCTTCTTCTTCTTCT